TTTGTTTTGTTTTTTGTTTTTTGTTTTTTGTTTTTTGTTTTTTGTTTTTGAGACAGGGTTTCCTAGTAGTTACGGAGTCTGTCCTGGAACTCACTCTGGCCTCAAACGCAGAGATCCCCCTGCCTCTGCCTCCTGACTGCTAAGATTAAAGGCATGCACCACCACTGCCAGGCTTGGCCTGCATTTTTATTTCCTCAATTTGGCAGACCTATTCCTGGAGTTCTAATAAGGGAGATAGGTCTGGCTTCTGGGTGGCTTGATAGCAGCATTGCTCAGTATTAGGAAAGTGGATAAAATCTCCAGTTGGTATTTTGGACTGGAACTCCTAGGGCTAAATTAAGCAGCAACAAGGACTTTCTGGAAAGCTACCACTGTGTGCAAACAGTGCCCAGTGATATACGGTGAGGCTGCTCTGGTTCCTGGGCAATTCCAAGAATGGAAAGTAGTCTGGGCACCCATGCCTAGGAAGGACAGGATCCCAGATCAGAACCTTCATGCACGTGACATCAGGCTTCCTGCCTGTTATCTACACTCCAAATCCGTCTCTTGCCTCTTCAAGAGCAAGTGCCAATATATGAGGAATAACCTCTAGCCTACCCTAACTTATTAATCATATAAGCCGTGCCCAAAAGCAACCCTACTCAGAATCCAGAGGAGTAAGGACTCACAGAACAAGACATCTAAGACCTAACTGCTGTCCGTCTTCCTAGCTGAGCCACCATCCTGGATTCCCGGGAAAGTCATTCTGGGTCACACACCTAATCGTTGGAGAGGATGGACATTAGGATGGAAGAGGCAGCAGTCACTTCCCTGAAGAGAAAGCAAGGTGCTGCTAGAAGGAACAGGTAGAAGGAAGCATGGAGAGGCAAGCTTCCCAAATGCCTGCTGCAGAGCACAGAGGGGGGTGGGAGGAGGACAGGATGGGGAAGCCACCAGGCCAGAGGCTTGACAGTCGTGAAGCTGACCCTGAGGATGGTAGCTGGTTATTAATAATGCTCAAAACACTTTGGAAAAGTCCACCATTAAAGAGTACATCAGGACAAGTCCTCAACGATATCACTCTGACCAGGCACGGTGGCATGCCTCTGTGATCCTGAGAGGCAGAGGCAGGAGGATGGTGATTTCAAAATCAGTCAGGGCTACTCCATAGCAAGACTTTGTCTCAAAAAAAAAAAAAAAAAAGCCTCCACTGTTTGAGAGAGATACATAGGAAAGTGGGGAGAGCTGGGGAAGACGGGGTTCAAAAGAGGAGGGGAACAAGAGAGAATACTGGGCCATATAATTTGAGAGTGTCTATGTAGATATGGAATTGCCAAAAAATCTTTAAAAATCTAAATAAATAAGTGAGCAAAATGTCACCTTGATGGCCTTGCTCTGCAGTGGGCATTTCTGATTGGGAAAGTAAGGTACAGATTGATCGGTCCCAAAGAGTTCATTGCCACAGCCACCAGGAAGTGAGTGATCACCAGTCCCACTGTGCATGAGTTATTGTGTTGCTCGGCTTTTCCACTAGGTCAAGGTGAACAGGGCTGTATGTGATCCTGGGTAGGCCCACGAGTGTGATTCTCTTGAGGGAAGAGGCTGGGTCTCGGCCCTAGCAACCTTCCCTGACCTCAGGTGAGATTAGTGAGGAGTGAGGCGATAGGTCTGGAGGTTTAGACTCAGGACAGTCATCCTGTTCACCAACCCAAAGCTACACATGAAGCATTAGGAACACTGAGGTGGCGTGGAGCTCTGTTCCTATCAACTGTGCTATTTGCTCAGCAAGGCATATATTCCAGGGATGGAGCACACCTCTTATCCTGGCGCTCCAGAGGCTGAGGCAGGAGGATCTCAACTGGGAAGCCACTCTGGGCCACATACTAAGACCCTGTCTCGAAAACAAGCAAATAAACAAAGCGAGATAGGCATCCAGCTGCTGCACCAAAGGTTACAGTATCAGTGGCTGAAACAAGGCAGAGGCACGCCCTCCCTCAACCACGGTCTCGGTGTAAGCAACTCCACAGGGTCAGTGGTCCAAGACCATCCAATTTTGTCTGTCTGCCATCCTCATATGTGGACTCTGTCTTGAGACTTCTGATGCCTGCTCCAGCTCCCGCCATCAAGCGTATGTCTTTCTCTTGAGGAGACTACCCAGAAGGGGACATCTCCTCCATCCCCTCATTTCCATCAGCTAGAGCAGGTCAAAGTTTTGCACAGGAAACCAGAAATAGTGTTGGGCTAAGGGGTTAGGCGCCTCCTTAAGATTCTGTTTCATGGCTGGAGAAAGAAGAATTGGGCTGGGGTACTGCTCAGTGGTAGAGTGCTTGCCTAGTATGTACAAGGGTCTGGGTTGGATTCCCAGCACCATGGGGCGGGGAGGGCGAATTCTAAGTGTTCTTCTTGTAGTGTGTTCTTGATTCAGCTTTCTTTTCCCCCCTTGAGACAGGGTCTCACACTGTAGCCTAAACTGACCTTGAACCTTGGCAATCCTCCTGCTTCAGCCTCCTGCATTCTGGGGTTACAGGTGTATACCACCATGCCTAGTTTTGACACAGCTTTCCATGCTGACCTTCGGAGCACCCTTCCTTCTTCCTGCCACCCTCCGGGTCCCCAGTTCAGTTGACTTCTGTCCAGCTTCCTTCTTACCATCCCCTCCATGAGCAACTTCTAGTCCAGACCCCTGTCCCTGGCACATCTCTGGAGAATCCAAGTCCTCTCGACTTTAACCTGGACTTGCTTTGGAAAAAGACAGTCTGTTTGGACTCTACTCTGTGATCAATGGACTCTACCAACTGACCCCAGCTGTTCATGCCCCTGTTTCTTTCACCCCTCTGCCCAAAGAACCCCCAAGCAACACAAGGGGGACAGTGCGCTTGGTCTCGGCATCAGCCAGGAGGCAGCTGGTCTGACAGAATAAGTCACTTCTCTTTGGCCTGCCTTTCCAGCTTGGCCCATCTGGGACAGCAACCATGCCACCTCCACTCACTCCCTTCCAAAGCCACCCCTCCTTCCTGGCCCAGTCTCTCCCCATCATTTGATGAAGATCTCTGCCCCAGGCAGACCTTAAGCTTACTGAAGAACTCCACCCCCACTTCTGGCTGGGACCAGACAGGGCTGGGTGATCCTGGGCCTTCCCAGTAACCCATAGATCAAGGACGCTAAGTAGCAGCCTTGTTCTGCTTTGAGGAACTGACACCGCTTTTTCCAGTCACAAGGCAGCAGGTAGAGGCCAAATTTCCAGCAGGAAAAAAGGAGAAAACAGAGGGGAGGGGATGGAGGAAAGTGGGGGAGGTCGGAGGACGAGGGGTAGTCCCGAAGGCCAGGACACCTGCCAGGTTTAGTTTGACTTGGTGGAAGGCTTAAGGGACAGCAGATAGAGCCAGGATCTCAGCGTTAGATCAGAGGTGACTCCGAAATCCAGGCAGAAAGGTTCAAGATGGGGGGAGGGGAGAGAATCATAAAGGAATGACAAAATTCCACAGTGCTTGTTATGTATGACCTCCCACAAAGGTCCTGAGCAGCTCACCTCTAAGTCCCACTGCACTGCACTAATTTTAGCTTGTGCCCTCTGCTCTTGCTGCAGAGGCAGCCGGGTCAGTGTTAGGTCAGCTGGAGGTCCCAGCAGGAGAGAACTTCTGGCTGAGTGACTCAGAAGATAGGGATCCCCTAGTCTAGGGGTTTGCATGCATTTGCCTAAGCATGCATCAGCACAGACCCACAGTCTATATTTAACTGTAAGGAAATAACTTCATCCTCGCTCCGAATGAAATAGGGGCTGCTTTCAGGTGGTCAGAGGTTCTCCTCTCAACTGTGCGGCGCCCAAAGCTGGAAGAAGGGCCATATGGTCATCTGAGCAATTGAACAGCCCCAGGGCATCCCTGAAAGGGCATCTTTTCTCCCACTGATGAAGTTTCCCAGCTTGTTAAGGGAGGAAACAAAACCCCTCTCAACTTTACAAGGTGAGAAAGGGCTCTCGGAGTCCTCGGAAATTAATCCCTAAACCTGCTGTGTTTGCAGTGAGAACATGGAGCGGGTGGGGCACACAGTACAACACATCCAAGGAAATCAAGCTAAAAATCCAGCCTCTTCCTCTTCCTTTCTGCTCCTTCTACTCACAGCAAGTCATCTGCAGGTGGGAGGTTCCGGGTGCAGGGCACAGGGTAGGGCCGGGGGATATTAATGCACTCATTCATCATCACATGCCTTAAAGCACTTATAACAACAGCAGCGTGATCAGGTCGAAACAATAAGAAGAAGGCAGGGAGCTGTCAGAGCACGGTTAGGAAGCACCTTCAGAGTGGGTGTAGGAGCTGAGTGAGTATTTGAGTATTTCCAGAAAAGAAGAAGATGAGGAGGAAGAGGAGGAGGAGGAGAAGGAGGGGGAGAGGAAGGAGGAGGAGGGAGGAGGAAGAGGAGGAGGAGGAGGAGGAGGAGGAGGAGGAG